CCGTTCATCCCGCAGGCAGAAATTAAGTACATAGGATGGCTAACACGCAACGCACCTACGAAAGCCGCCTCTAGCATTATTATAGAGTTTAGTAAGCCAGAGGACGCCAACAAGATCATTGACGAGGGCCTCATCTGGCAGGGCGAGGTCTTTCAGTGCGAGCGATACGAGCGACAGTGCCGAGTGAAGCAGTGCTTTAAGTGCCAACACTACGGCCACATAGGAACCCAGTGCAAGGCAACAATCGCATGCGGCTACTGCGCGCAAGAACACGAAAGTCGAGACTGCCCGTCGAAGCTCGACCGGACTATCCCCAGGAAGTGCGCCACCTGTCGAGGCGAACACGAAGCATGGAACTACCAATGTCCTACTAGGAAAGAGGAGAGGGCGAAAGCGAAGGCTGCATACGACATGCGCCCATACTACCACCCGGTTACGGAGACAGGAGGGAGAGTTCCACTAGAAGAACCAGTAACCGCCACCCGAAGGAGCAGACTCACGCAAGCCGCTGTATCGACGCAGCCAACACCAATCACCAGGAACCGATCCCAGACCGGACGAGGGCAGAAGAGGACTAATGCTGGAACCACCGTCGATCCAGCAGAGCAACAGAACCCACCAACACAGGCGAGCGGCAGCCAAAGGCCGCAGAGGCATATCATGCCCACTCGGAGGGCTATGGAAGCAAACGGGAATAGCACGCGACGAACACAGGGCGGCAACAGCCAGCACATGGAAATCGACTCTGACAACGAAGCATGAATAGACACAATAGACTAAACATATTACAGTACAACGTACGCAAGTCAAGAGACATGGTCATGGCGTCATTACTACGTGACCCAGGGATCTACGACTTCGATATTATCGCTATTCAAGAGCCATGGAAAAACCCATACGCAACAACCACACATCACCCAGCCAAGAACAAGTTCCACCTTTGCTACCCAACAAGCCACATAGGAGGAATAGCTAGAGTCTGTTTCTTTATTAACAAGAAGATAGACCAACTAAGATGGCGCTTTGAGGAACGAACTAGAGACATCTGCTCTATAATCATAGACCCAAAAGACGACCAGCAACAACAAGAAAGACTAGTTATCCATAACGTCTACAACCCGCCGAAGACTTCGAGTAACCGACAGAGCGTACTACCACAGGTACGAGAAGCGTTAAGACAATATCATACGGACGAACAAATACTGCTTGGTGACTTTAATCTCCACCATCCTCTATGGGGAGGGCTAAATAGAGAGGTCGCCGATCTCGAGTCAGAGGACCTGATAGACATAATAGGAGACTGCGCACTCCATAACACTCTCTCACCAGGAACGACCACATATGAAGAAGGCCGCTCGCAGTCGACGATTGATCTCTGCCTCGTAACAACAGGACTAATCGACAAAGTCATTAAGAGCGAAGTAGATAGAGGTCTAGACCACAACTCAGATCACCTACCAATAAGCACAACGTTAGACCTTACAGTACAACAGCTTAAGAAGGAGCCGCGCAAAGATTGGAAGAGACTAGACGAGAAAGAGTACACGAAAGCGCTAAGACACGCCTTACCTCCGCTTCGAAGACCGCTCACAAAGGCAGCGCTTGACGCATACACAGGTGAGGTGACAGCCGCAATTCAGAACGCGATACACAAGGCAGTGCCGGAGACTCAACCCTCTACCTACACCCGGGAAGGATGGACTGAGGAATGCAGAGCCATCCTAGCTGAGACAAAACGGCTGAAAAGGGTACACAGTCAATACCATACAGAAGAGACCTGGGAAGCGTACCGCGCCGCGAGGAACCAAAAAGCGAGAACAATTAGCAAAGCCTTACGCAAAGCACACAGAAACCGCATAGAGCAAGCGACAGAGTCACCAGACGCGCTGTGGAAGCTAGCAAGGTGGGCACGTACGAGGCATGACCAGTCAATTGGATCCATACCAACAATACAGCACCCTGACACCCGATGTGAACTAGAAGACCCAGCAGAAAAGGCTGAGCTGTTCCGAGACGTCTTCTTTCCAGCGCCACCAGAAGCAGACTTGGGAGACATAGAGAATGCTACATATGCAGGCCAGATCGACATGCCACCAATCGAAGAAAAGGAGGTACGGACAGCCATTCGAGCAGCATCACCCCTCAAAGCTCCAGGTCCGGACAGGATCACGAATAAGGCGCTGCAAGCCGGGATCGACCTAATAGCAGTCCATCTAACGAGGATCTTTAACCAGAGTCTGCGACTAGGATACTGCCCAAACTCATTTCGAGCGTCCATCACAGCTGTCCTACGCAAACCCGGCAAGACCAACTACGCAGTGCCCAAGGCATACCGTCCGTAGGAATCCCCGGAAACGAGGCCGCCGACCAGGCTGCCAAGGAGGCAACTGGGTGGAGAGAGGACGGCCGCAGCCAGCTACCAGCAAACCCGCCCTCGCAATTGTATCCGCTCAAAACAACGCTCAGGAGATGGTGTAAGACACAGGCAGAGAGGGCTTGGATCAGCGCATGGAGGGAAGACAAGAGAGGCCGCGCGACATATAGACACACGCCGACGCCCACCAAGAAAGTGCTGCAGCTCCACGAGAGGCTCAGCAAAAGGGAAAGCGCGCTGTTGGTGCAACTGCGAACCGAGAAGATAGGCCTCAACGACTTTCTCTTCAGTCGACACGTCCCGACCATTACTAACCCCCGCTGCAGCTGTGGAGAGAGGCGGCAGACCGTCGCCCACGTCCTCCTCCGCTGCAGCAAGTATAAGGACCTCCGGAACCGTATTTTCGCCAACCTGTCCGGACGGAATAGTCTCAGGACTATCCTGAGCACGCCGCAGCTAGCCACCAAAGCTATCGAATATATGGAACAGACGCAGATCCTTGGGCAAGTGGGGATCAGAGATGAGTAGACGACGCCGAGCGCTGGGGGGAGACGGTAGGTACAGCGGACGCGACAGACGAGGCAGCGAGCTCTACGAGCCTAGGAACATAGCATGCAATTAGTAGAACCGCTATCTAGGATGGCCGCAAAGCATA